TTAACTGCCAACCAAGATAGCCGCTGGCAGCTAGGCAGCTGAAGCGAACAGGAGGCTTGCTTGCTCCTGTGATGGAGGAAACCAAGGTTCCCCGCCTGCCGCTGCTGGCCTCTGTGCTGCACTCTAAGAAACAATGTTGCAATTATAGAAGCTAAACAAACCCCAGAAACCTGCTTTCAGCCAGCTGGGCCTCAGAGCTGGAGCTGCAACAGTGTTTCAATTATAGAAGCCAAACAAACACAGATACATGCTTTAAAGCTGCAATGTCAGGGCGGCCGGCTGGGGAAGGACCAAGGGAGGTTGGCTCCAGGGCATGTCCAGGCGACTTGCCCAGTCCCACCACACTGTCCACCTTCTAATTAATATCCTTTCAATGTGCACGAATCCATGCACCGGGGCACTAGTATATATATAAAAGCCTAAGCGATGGAGTGGCTGAACGACCGGTCGACCAGTCACTGTGATGCGCAGTGACCACCAGGGGGCAGATGCTCAACACAGGAGCTGCCCCCTGGTGGTCAGTGCACTCCCATGGGGGAGGGGGGCAGCGCAGCCACAAGCCAGGCTGATGGCTGCCAGTATAGCAGTGGTGGTGGGAGCCTCTCCTGCATCCTCAGTAGCGCTAAGGATGTCCGATTGCAGCTTAGGTCTGCTCCCCGCTGGCAAGTGGGCATCCCCTGAGGGCTGCCGGGCTGCCAGAGGGATGTCTGATTGCCATCTTAGACCCAATCCCTCGGGGAGTGGGCCTAAGCCAGCAGGTGGTTATCCCCTGAGGGGTCCCAGACTGCGAGAGGGCACAGGCCGGGCTGAGGGACCCCCTACCCTCCAAGTGCACAAATTTTGTGCACTGGGCCTCTAGTATTTAATGTTTTGTTGAGTTATATGATTAACAACTATAGCAAAATACATTGGAGAACATTATCTTTGAAGGGTTTCAGCGGTAGTTTAATTAACATACAGTGGACAGAAAACATACAATCTGTTCAAACAGATGATTTGAAGATCCCTCCTGTTGCTTTTGTTTTCACTGTAGCTGGGAAGGGAAAGATTATATTACATATATCGTTCATCTTGCTTCTGAATGATTTGTTTTGGTGGTGATTTAAAATATTTTCATAAGTTTGAAAACTTGTGAAGTGTATAGGAATAATTCACAGTGTAGATAACTAGGCTGTGGTTTTGCCAGTTTTTCTCCATCTTTATTTCTGTAAAACATCCATTTTTGACTTGTCTTATCTTCTTTAAAAATGATTCTGAAAAGGGACCAAAATCTAAGCCAATTTTATACTTCAGTCTTGCTGAACCAAGTGCTACTGAATAATGAACATATAGGCATGCATCCTTTGTACATGATTGGGCAGTCTTGCTTATTCATCACATAACCAGAGAAAAAGAGTTATATCTAAAATAGCAACCAAAGGAAAGTTCATGGAGGCCAGGCTCGAAAAATTAAAAATTCTCTCATTAGAAAACCCTCAGGTCCTTCTTTAGATTATGTTTAGTCTTTGTAAATACAATTGGAGGCAGCAAGTGATCCATTTTTATCAGTTTACCCAGTTTAATTTAGCAAATTTTAGAAGGACCAAGCCCATTCATGATGGAGACAATCCAATCAATGATTGTATTAGCTGATGTGATGGTAAAGCAAGAGAGAAAAATTTTAAAACACAGCTGAAAAACTAAAAAAAACACAACACCAAAACTGCACAGGTATCTGGAGACTTACCTTTGTAAGTGCTGGAGTAGACATTGATTCTTGCTTCATCTGGGAGGCCTACCTGTCGGTTAATTTACCTTCCCCAGTAATCTTAATAATAACATTTGAATAGTCACTGTAAACACAGGAGTTTGACACATTAATGAAACAACCCAAACTTCAGTGTAAGCGGTGTTAAAAGATGATGTTTGACATATTACAACATTTAAGTTCACCTGAGCAAGAATCAGTTCCAAGGGACAGCACCAAATCAGAAGGGGTTAGGAGCACGCCAAGGACAGGAGCTAGGGGAAAGACTTTTCTGGAGAAGAGGTGAAAGCAAAGTAAGGAAACCATTTGATTGGCTACAGCTTCAGCATGTGCTGGATCCAGAAAAGCAGAGTTGGCTGTTAGTGACTGATGGCCCTTAGGTTTGATTTCCTAACCCTGAGGCATTTACAGTCTTAGGTTGGGGTTTGCTTACTATGTAGGCTGCTAAGGTATTAATACCACCTCATTCTGATGGCCTCCTTGTTTAATTAACTTAACAGTGGGGAATAGGAACTTTATTGTTCCTGAGATTTGAAGTGCCCTTTCATTTCTTCTCCTGGGTAAGAAAGCAGGGAGAGAAAGAGAAAGGGGGCTCAGGGAGGCTGGGAAATGGAATTCCTATGCACACAGCCTCTCCCCTGCTGCTTATTTCACCTACTGCCTGCCTGGGCCAGCACCGCAGGAGCTGGTGTGACTGACCGGCCTGACAGGCATCATGGAAAATGCTATATTTTATCTTGTGCTATAAACATCTGAAAAGATAGTGGTAAAATCAATATCAGTTAATTAATATCCAACAATAATACTAATTTAAAAGAAACCCAGAGTGTTTTTGAAATTCTGTGTTGAAGATTTTAATAAAATCTAAGTCTTTGAAGTTTTTGGTATATTTTCCCTAATTTGTTTCTAGGACTGTTGACTCCATTAACTGCATTACATTTGCCACATTGCTTATCTAGGTTGACAATTGAGCCAGGACCCTGTGTAGATTTTCAGCTGTTCCTCCAGGACTGTTTGTATTCAGATGTCCACCCCCCTAGTGCAAGGCAAATGCACAGCCCTAAGGTTAACCTAAGCCTGGTGCTAGGAGGTCCTGATTTGGTCGTTGTAAAACTTATTGCTTACCTTTGTTGTAAGCTGCCTCATATATTTTTAGTAATGAGGCAGGATATATAAATGAAGCAAATAAAACTGCTCTCTGTATCTTCGCCTAGAATCATAGGTCTTACACATCCTCAGGAAAAGCTGTCTACTTCAGGTGAAATAGTGTCATTCCCATTTAAAATATAGGCTAACTAAAGCACAGGGAGTTTTGTGAACTATTCTCAGCCCCATATCCAGCAAACCTAACAATAAAATTTCCACTCAAAGTCTCCTGAATCCTTGTACAGTATTTCTTCTATTACACAATTCTGTCTAGTCCTGTCATTCTTACTCCAAAGAGACTGTCAACAATTCATCGGCCTATTCACTCATTCAACAAAAATTTACTGAGCACTGTCCAATGGCTAGTGGGAACAACAATGTTAAAAAAAAACAAACATTTCCCTCCCTGGTTAGGTGGCTCAGTTGGCTGGAGTGTTGTCCTATGCACCAAAGGGTTGAGGTTTCAATTCCTGATCAGAGTACATACCTAGCTTGCTGCAAATTCAATCCCCCGTAAGGGTGCATACTGGAGGTAACCAATGGATGTTTCTCTCTCATATCTATGTTTTTCTCCCTCCCCTTCCTTTTTCTCTAAAATAAATAAAATCATATCCTCAAGTGAGTATTTTAAAAAAAGGAAACATTTCTTGTAGTGGAGGGTGGGAGGGGATCATAATCAACCCTTTTCGTACATGAGCTTTTTGCGGTCTTACAACAGTTCTGTGAGTGGAACATTGTGCTACATTTTTGTGGCATTTCTGGAGTTCTTGGTCATTTTCATTCTCCATGGTTCTTTTAAATCCTATCATTCTATGAGCCCATAGAAAAGTCTAGATTGCCGACCCTGTGGTAGTGTTTCTCTCTAAGCTGTATCCACTAAAGCATCAGGCAGTAGGAGATCTTTTAAGTTTATGATGAAACCAAAGAATCGTCTCTCTGTCAAGAAGAATTATCACCTTTTTTTGAGTTGAAAGGGAGATATTTTAGACTATTTTCCTGTGATGAGTAGTGGTAGCCTTACCTTAGTTATTAGAGTTCTGAGTAACTGAGTCAATGGTATCATAAGCCACATTAATCACATTTTGGTTTCTTGGAATGTTCTTGTATTGAGAGGAACCTCACAGCTATGATTAAATCACTGCTCTCTTAAGCTCTTTTTGAAGCCATATCCTGCCAGTTATAAAGGCTGTCATTTCATATCTTTTGGTAATAGTTGTGCAGAAGAGGACTGTTCTTCCTAGTCAGAAACTGAATTTCTCAGACTTGTGGTATACCTTCCCCTGCTGACCCACAGAAATGAAAGACTAGGACTAATGATTAAATCTAATTTTCCCTCCTGTAGTGGCAGGATGAGCTGGGTCAGCAAGGACAGTCCCTGCAGATAGCTTTAAAATACCTTTGTGATTTGATCCCCTCGCCTTCCATTTCATTTCTCTACATGCCTATCACTGTCATTCTTTACCACCCCAGCAAGTTTCTAAGGTAAGAACAGCACAAGTGAACAAGAGCATTTGTGATGCCTCCTGAGAACGTTGCTTATTAAATGAGTTAGGCAGTGAGCCAAGTCTGACTTGTGAGCTACAAAGGAGGGTAGCACATTTACACGAAGATCATTCCGTGTATTATTTAAACCGTTCACATTATTGTCCCTCTGCTGTTCAACATAACTCATGTGAAATGGATATTAGTTCACAAGTTAATAATGTCTGACTTTTATATTCAAATGGACTGAGAATCACTTGGTTTTCATTCCTAAGTCTGGATTGTAGCTTGTTTTCTCAGAATAACCGGGGAATATTTATGGAGTGTGTTGTGGAAGGTGGGGAGGGAAGGGAATAAAAATGGATTGCTTTAGGGCTGCACATCTGTTTTAGAGACTCCGCTGGGTCTTCACATTAACCACTGTCACGACTTATGATGTGTCCCAAAATTGCATTCTACTCAGAGACGTGCATACCGACTCAAAATATTACCATTAAACAGATTTCACTGGTATGAATTAGTTCTCTATTTTCATGACTAGCAGCTATTTTTCCTACTGAAGTTGATAACATGCGTATGATTCATAGCAAGTAAGTAATTCGTTGTTTTATTTACTTTCGAACAGATTGGCAACACCAAGTTGCTCAGGCCTTCCCGCAAGCAGAAGAGGAGATAGAAGTAGACACACATACATTCAGCCACAGGTGGAAAAGGAACACAGATCCCCTCAAGGCCGTGGACACGAACAGAGCGAGCGTGGGCCAAGACTCCCCAGAGCCCCGAGGCTTCACAGACCTGCTGCTGGATGATGGGCAGGACAACACCACCCAGATTGAGGTAAACAGCCTGAATAATTGAAATGGATTAATGAGTACAGTTATGGTGAGGCACCGATATATATGTACTGTCCTTTCAGCTCAACCTAGGACTTTTGGACCATTTTTTTGGTAAAGATCAATTTAATTCATAGATAAATAATTAATTTGTTAATATTCAGTAATCCAATAATAAACAATTCTATTAAATAAATAAATAGGTAAACCATTTAATCACCCACAAATTCATTTACTCATGAAACAGACAAGCGTGGACTTGGTGTGGTGAAGGCAGTGAGGGGAACACAAAGATGAAGACAATACAGCACCTGCCTGCAGGGGATGTACTGCGTTATAGGGTCTCCTCGCCATTATCAAATCATCCCTATACCATGCGATATGTGCAGAAATATATACAGGCTGTAGCAGGGCAGGCATGGAGGAGGGAGTGATCATCTGCTTGTGGCTAGGAGGTGGGCTGTTGTCAAAGACGTTAACTCTAGAGGTGGGCATCTAGTCAGGGTCTTGGGAGGTTGAGAAGAGTCCACCAGGTTGACAACTTGGCAGTGGGGAGAGAGGAGAATCCTGGCAGAGAGAATTTCATCTGCAGAGGCCGAGTCGAACAACAGCAGGGCATGCTGAGGGGTCCAGGGCTGGGGTCTTTCTGGCTTGTAGGGCTTTCCATGCTAAAAATGAGACAGTGCTGGGCAAACTGGGATGGTTGGCCCCTCTGACTATAAGTAATTTTTTGTTATGGGTGGAGCCAGGAGGTGGAAGGGGAAGGGAGAAAGGAGAAGGGGTTGGTGATGGGTTTGGTGAGTCTGGAAGTTTGCTGAGGGCATATTTTAGATAGATTTTAGGGTTACCCAGAGGCCTCAGTCCTGAACATTGCAAATCATAAAATATGATCTTGTTAGTACACTAGATATAATAAAAACAACACTTATGGAAATAAGCAAAACCACCCAAATGAGAACAGAAGCTGTTTTACTCAATTTGCAATAGCAAGGGAGCCAGCCTCCATCACTTGCCTTTGGTGGAGACTCATGAGTAGTCAAGGCATGGGAAAGGTTTTCAGTTAAAAAAAGAGAAATCTTTACGTAAGCTCCGATTGGTGACTGTTGGCCTGCAGAAGCTAGAGGTAGGCTACTTAAAAACATAACACTTCCTGTGACTGGTTCGGGGGGCATATACAGCTCTCTGTGGTTGGTCCTGAGTTGGACGCAAAAAAATAGAGAAGTATTAATCAAGTCCTGCCCTTCATGGGCCAGTTGCTGCCAAGCTTCTGTTCTGGCTCCCTGGACTCTAGAGCAGCGGTTCTCAACCTGTGGGTCGCGACCCCTTTGGCGGTTGAGCGACCCTTTCACAGGGGTCGCCTAAGACCATCCTGCATATCAGATATTTCCATTACGATTCATCACAGTAGCAACATTACAGTTATGAAGTAGCAACGAAAATAATTTTATGGTTGGGTCACAACATGAGGAGCTGTATTTAAAGGGCCAGAAGGCTGAGAGCCACTGCTCTAGAGGATGGGGTCAGAATTCTATTGTCATCCATGGTCTGACCATTGTCCATTCGTATATTCTCTTTCAATCTGAAGTTTTAGTTTCTACTTTCTCCCAGGTGACATGCTTAATACTTTTTAAGAACCAGACACCATTCTTTTTTACTGCTCTGAACTACTCATTATTTAGGAAAAAACTCAAGTTCATGAAATAGATACAACATAGTTCTGCCAATTGTATCAAGGCATCACTTGCTGCCCCATTAGCGAGAGGACTTTTCAGAAGATCTGCAGCACAGGCCAGTGGCATTCTATGTATGTGGGAAGCCCAATGCTTTTCGAAACCCCTCTCCATCTCCTTAACTAGTCTGTGACTCTCATGGCCCTGGGCTGCCTCAGCCAGGACCCTTAACAGGCCACAGAGGGTGTGCCAGGAGCAGAAGTCGCACAATATCTCTGAGAAGCTATTCGACTCCTGCCGTGTGCCTGCTATTTTGGCAACTATGTTGTTATAGCAACTCAGAGTAGGGAACATTATTCTTCCCCGAGAAGCTCTTCAGCTGGGGTGCAGCATAAAGAAAGGAGAGCTCAGCAGAGGTGTTTACTCTCTGCACACAGCTGCACCACTGAGATGGCAAGAGGGGGCACACATCTCTAGAACTCTGTGATCTCTGTGCAGGATGCCGAATTCCCCCTAATCTCTTGTAGAATAGAAAAGCCCTTTGCTCAAGGATGTATGAACCCTCCTCGAAATACAGCCCGGTAGCTATTATAGCTCTGATTTTGTAATTCAGCCAATTTTTTCTTTTTCTACTTTAACAGAGGGAGACCTCATAATGTCAGTGATTTTGAATCAGTGAAAAGATAAAGGAAGGATGGTGCAGGGCGCTATTTGCTGGGTGCTCGAGCGGCGCTAAGATCGGCCAGGTGTTGCATGGATATTGTTTTTCTTCGTCCTTATATCGGCCTAGAGAGATCGGCATCCCCGGTTCTCTGAGCCATCTCAGTGACTTACATGAGGGCGATATCAGGTTTAGTGTTTCAGATTCGGGTTTAGCATTTTTAATAAGGACTCCCATTAATGAGTAAAGAAGCTGAAGCTGCATGTAAACTCAGGTTTAGCCTTCCTACTGGACTTGGCTTCCTCTAATATATAAGGAACAATCAATGGCACTTTGATTATGGGAGGATTTTGGACAGCGGCAGCACCCAGATAGCAGTATGACAGCAGCGTTAGAGTTTCAGTCTGTCTGGAGGGGGATTACCTTGAAATTAGATGTGCACAGGAATAGGACTCCCTCTATTTTGAGAGTTTATTTATTTTGATGGCATTCTGGGGACTGGTGAAGATTATTGGGGATCTAAAGTCCCATAAGTCATCTCTTAGCACCACCATAACTCTGGAAACAAAAGCCTACATCTGAAACTTTTCTGCGAAGTTTATTTATCCTGGACCTTGAAATAGTATTTATGAACATTGTTGCATCTCTTTTTGGGGAAAATACTTTTGCTGTATTGAGGTAAACAGGAATAAAAAGAGAAATGAACCACTTGTTTATAGAGTGGCCGTTCTGTGCTGGGCATGGGGGCAAGATCTTTCTTGTCTTTTAGGAATAGGCATTTTGCTCTATATAGCTGATTATAAGCAATAGCATGAAAGCCAGTGTGCTTGTTCCTTTAGAGCAGTGGTTCTCAACCTGTGGGTCGTGACCCCTTTGGCGGTGGAACGACAGGGGTCACCTAAGACCATCCTGCATATCAGATATTTACATTACGATCCATAACAGTAGCAACATTACAGTTAGGAAGTGGCAACGGAAATAATTTCATGGTTGGGTCACAGCATGAGGAACTGTATTTAAAGGGCCAGCAGGTTGAGAACCACTGCTTTAGCTGCTTCCACAGTCGATGTCAGGAATCGGAACTATTTTGCCCGAGAGCCCAGGCTGTACTCGGAGTTCTTAAAAAATCGTTTGTATCCCACTGAGTCTAAAACCACCCATTAGGTACGTGCATGTCCTCGCTTCTGCCACGTCTAGACTTTATATCCCACTCTCACTAAAGAAAACAAAGGACAATAGCATACTTACTATTTTGGCACAAATTCTTTATGGAACAAAGACTGTTATTCTCTTAAATTGGTGACAGTATTTTTTCTGGCTCTGCACAGGAACAGATAATGGTGGGATTGTAGAACCCAGTGTCCCAGCTAAAGAATCCTTCCAACTGAAGTTTTTTGTGGTAGCCATTGTTTTTTTTTTGTTTTTCTTTTTTAAATATTCTTCCGGTGAGGATATAAAGATGTCTTGACATCATTTGTACTTCCTGTTGAGCCAGCATGGACTCAACAGTGAGCAAATGCCACTGTTGATCTGGATGTTGGTCCACGTGAGACTTCCTTCTTGTAATTTCTCTGATCGTGTGGACATGTAACCACTTAGCCAAGGAGAAGAACAGGGCCTTCTTCTGATTGTAGGTGTTGAGAGTGTGGTGTCATAAGGCAATCATTCCTGTGCTATGTTTTGTGATTACTTTGGGAATATAAAGGCTTTCAGGACTTTCAGGTAAAGTAGAATTCCATCCACACTCAGCCTTGCTTGAGCAGCCTTCAGTGAACCCCTTGACCCCAGGTCACACGCATGCACGAGCAGTCCGGGTATCTGCACCTCACCGCTGGCTGCCCAGAGAACTCAGAGCGTCAGAGGTGCCTTATAGAACCGAGAGGGCCTGAGGGGTCAGTGTTTGGTGAGTTTCATAAAGCTCACTTGTATTATCTTATTCCTGTGTGAAGTGTTGGTAACTTACTATTCTTCACTTGACATAAATCAACCCCGAATTCCTTTCTAACACACTAAACCAAATATGTGTTTTTTAACACTTATTCATATGGAGTTTTATATTCCCTCCCTTGGGACAATGGAAGTGTTTCTGAAAAGGATTTTTTTAAACATTTATTTTTTGGTTTTAATTTATTTTTAAATTTATTTTATCTTTATTATTGAAGGTATTGTTCCCCCATTGTCCCTTTCCACCCACTCCAACCCCCCATCTGAGGCCTTCCCCCCACTATTGTCTGTGACCATGGGTTATGAATATATGCATGTAAGTTCTTTGATTAATCGTTGAAAAAGGATTATTACATGTGATTTTTTTTTCTTGATTGAAAAGCACCTGGATGACTTGAAGAAGGGAAGATTTAAAAGTAGGGCTTATGGAATGTATAAGTGTAGCTTTATGTTCCAAACTGACTCAGAAATTGTGAGCTTGATCAGTGCCTCTCAGTTGATGCAGATGTGTCTAGACCACAGGCCACACTTTGAGTTGCAAGGAGTTAGAGTACCAGGTAGATTACCTATTGGTTTTGAGGATAGAAAGGTTCCAAAAAACCTTAGATAGAGTTGCTTTCCATCAACATGTCTCATGGATTTCTCATTCTGGCACCAAATTAGAAACTGCAGGTATCTTCGGCAATTCTTGAATCACGCATGTTTCTCTTATCTGAGGAGGTACTATGG